TGTTGAATAAGAGTAACTTTAGGTACATTTCGTGGTTGTGCCTGGCACTGGCCATGAGCTTTGTGCAATGTGGGCATTTCTGGGGTATATGCCCCTCTCCCAGACATTTTATGCACATGGAGTGCCCATTGGACGCAGACATTGCATCGCAGCACTGAGTGCACTTTTTAAAACCAGATGACCCCGGCATTCTGACAGAATTTTTTTTTAAACTGGAATATGGAACGATAACTGTAACTAAAGCGGCGAGGAGTCCTGTGGCAGCTTATAGACTAACTGAAGTGTAGGAGCGTAAGCTTTTGTGGGCAAAGACCCACTTCGTCAGATGCATGCGACGAAGTGGGTATTTACCCACGAAAGCTTATGCTCCTACACTTCAGTTAGTCTATGAGGTGCCACAGGACTCCTCGCCGCTTTTGCAGATTCAGACTAACACGGCTACCCCTCTGATACTCAACTTTAGCTAATTTACTAATAACTATTAATTAACTAACTAATTAATGGCTAACTGTAAATTTTAACAAATTTTCTTCTCTGACCGGAGGAGAGAAAGTTCGCTCCGCCTGCCACCTGTGGACGGTTAGGAGGAACTGGCGGGAGCCAGATCCCGTGCATGCTCAGAAGCACGTGAACAACCCATACCCCGTGCATGCGTGGGCTGGCCGAACCATGGCTAACAACTTTCCAACCTGCGGTGCCGGGATGTGGCCCAACACCTGAAGCGGAGCACCTACGGGAACACTACCCGAAGAAGAATGTCAGTTACTATTGAGGTGAGTAACCTCCTCTTCTTCGAGAGAGATGCCCCTTTAGGTGTGCCACATTAGGAGACTACAAAGATATTTCTCTTTAGGGAGGTAGGGACTTTGGATCTGGCAGAAAAGCGGTGGAAAGAACGGCCTTAGCTAGTTTCAGTTTGGAAAGAGGTCCCTGCATAAGTGCGTAGTGCTTTGCAAATGTGTGGTCGGAGGACCATGTAGCAGTTGTGCAGATGTCTGTTATGGGTACTTTGTGGAGGAATGCTACCGAAGTAGCTATGGCTCTGGCTGAATGTGCCGTTAAGCTATCTGGAGACAGCAAGTCTGACTGTGCGTAGCAAAGCTTGATGCAATCGGAGATCCAGTGGGAGAGTCTATGTGATGAGACAGCCTGGCCCTTGTTGTGGTTTGCTATTGAAACAAATAGTCTGGGAAATGACCAGAACAGTTTTGTTCTCTGCGGGTAAAGAGAGAGCACTCTGCGCAGGTCAAGGGTATGCATTTTCATCTCGAAAAAGTTGGCATGTGGTTTGGAAAATAAGGTGTGAAGGTGTACTGTCTGGTTGATGTGGAAGGATGAGAGTACTTTGGGGAGAAATTTGGGATGGGTATGTAAAGTAACCTTGTCTTTAAAAAAGGTGGTGTCTGGGGGATCCACCATTAGGGCTGCGATCTCTCCTACCTATCTGGTCGAGATAATAGCTATGAGGAAAACAATTTTCATGGACAAGTGTAATAAGGAGGTGGTCGCCATTAGTTCAAAAGGCGGCCTAGTTAGAGCATTCAATACCAAATGCAGGTTCCACAGTTGCATTGGTGGATCGATATCTAGATAAAGTGCCTACTGGCCCTTTAAGAACCTCTTGGTGAGTGGTTGAGCAAATATGGACGAGTTGTCTATCTTAGAGTGGAACATAGCAGCAAGGTGAAATTTAATGGAGCTTATTGCAAGGCCCACTTGTTTAAGGTGCAGAAGATAGTCGAAGATGGTAGGTAAGGAGGATGTTGAAGGAACCAGCTGGTGATATACATATCACATCGAGAATCTTTTCCATTTCTGAAGGTAAGTCTTGTGGGTGCTCTGCGCCCTACTGTGTAGAAGGACCGTTTGTACTTGTGAGCAAGTCAACTCTAGGTCAGAGAACCATCCAGGAGCCACAGCTCCAGGTGTAGTGAGTGGAGGTTCAGTTGGTCATCATAGGAGCCCAGGTGCAGAAGATTTTCAATGCAAGGTAGGTGGATTGGTGGGGCACGAGACATTACCACTAGGAAGATGAATCATGACTGGCATGGCCATGCTGGAGCTATAAATATGAGGAGGGCCTTGTCCCTCCTTATCTTGTGAACAACTCTGTTCAATAGGGGTATAGGAGAGAAGGCATAGGGTAGGTGGGATGTCCATGCAATGAGGAAGGTATCTCCCTTTGATCCCTTGCTTATGCCCACCTTGGAACAGAATAGGGGGCATTTCTTGTTGGATTACATGGCAAACAGGTCTATGGTTGGGTGACCCCAGAGGCAGAAAATGTCCTCCAATATGTGTGGGTTCATTTGCAAGTCGTATTTGGATGGAAGAGCTCTGCTGAGTGCATCTGCCTTTGTATTCAGGGTGCCTGGAAGATGCACTGTGGTGATAATTGTATTGTATTTCAGGCACCAGTTCCAAAGTGCTATGGTCTCTGGGCAAAGACCCCTTGAGATCGGGGCTCCGCCCTGATGATTTATTGTCTATATACAGTTTGACGTGTGGGCAATGAATGGGAGGTATATGACCCATGCATTCCTGAGTGCATGCAGTTCTAGGACATTTATGTGCAAGTTCTTGTCAGTGCTGGACCACAGGCCCAGGCAGGTATGATGTCGTAGGTGAAGATGCATGGATGGTTCTGGTGGATGGAAGGAGATTCCAGAACAAAGGTTCCATGGGCTTATCCACCAACGTAAGGATTCCTTTACTATCTCTGGGAGGGCTAGGGATTTGGATAGCAGATGTACATTGAGTTTGTACACCTGTCCCAGAAAGCTCTGTAAACATCTCATGTGCAGGCACACTTTGTTGACTATGAAGTTGCATGCTCCAACAGTCAAAGGCATTCAAGTGCTGTTATGAAGGGGCCGGATTGTATGGTATTTATCAAGGCCACGATTTTTTGAAAACAGTCTGTAGGTACGGATGCAGTGGCCACTGTCGAGCTGAGGCATGCTCCTATGAACTGTATCTTCTGTGTAGGAGAGACCGTTGATTTGGTTTCATTTACCTGAAGGCGGCTGAGGTGTCGGAATAGGTGTCTTGTGACTAACAGAAAACGGCAGAAATCAATGTGTGAGCGCGACTTGAGGAGGCAGTAGTCTAGGTAAGGAAATATGATAACTCTTTGTTTCCTCAGATACGCTGTGACAATTGCCAGAACCTTTGAAAAGATCCTCAGGGCCGCAGAGAGTCCAAATGGAAGCACCTTGTATTGGTAGTGTTGAGAATCTACAACGAAACAAAGAAAACTTCTGTGAGCAAGGTGGATGGTAATGTGAAAAGTTGAGGGATGAGAACCAATCATCCTGTTCCAATGCTGATAATATGGTAGCAAGCATTACCATCTTGAATGTTTGTTTCTGAATGAATTTATTGAGGGCTCAAAGGTCTAAGATGGAAGGCCTCCAACCACACGACCTTTTTTTAATCAAGAAGTAATGGGAGTAGAATCCCTTGCCCCTAAATTGTGGGGGGATGGGTTCAATCAACCCTATGTGTAAGACATGCTCTAATTCTTGTAGAAGAAGGATCTTCTTTGAGTGGTTCCTGAAAAAGGGAGGGGAAGGAGGGTGGGAGGGGGTACGGACACAAAGAGTATGTCTACACTTGCTCCCTAGTTCGGACTAGGGATGCAAATGTAGCTGACTGAAATTGCTAATGAAGCAGGGATTTAAATATCCCGTGCTTCATTAGCATAATCTCGCCCATGTGTTATTCTGCTCGCCAACTAATTTGAACCAGGAAGTGCGCTCTGGGACGCATTAGTTCAAATCAAACTCTTTGGTTCGAACTAATGTTGTTAGCTTGTGCTGATTTTCCACGTCTTGAATAGGAATGTTTAATTCAGCAGCTACACGTTTAAAAAAGTCTTGTAAATGTGCAGAGTCATCTAAAGTAGTTGAAGCTAGGGCCAGAGACCCTCCCTCTACTTGGGGGTGTCATTTTGGTCAGGAGGAGGTGCTGCCTCCTGTGTGGGTGTGTCCCCTTCTTGTATTTGTTTGGAGGTGGGGTGTTGCACTTTGTGTCATTTCTGGCCATGCTGGTGTTTCTGATAATATTGCCATTTGTTCCAGTATTGCCAACAGAGGTAAGGCTCTGGTAGAGGTACCCAGGGATTGCCATAATACGGAGGCATATTCCCAAATCTGGAAGAGTAAATACTCTGAGCTGTGTGAGGAGCATTCTCTGGTGAAATTCCCCTAAAGAAGACATCATCACATTTGGATGAAATTCTTTTCTGAGAGAGGCTACGTCTAGACTGCAAGCTTCTTTCGGAAGAACCTTTTCCGGAAGAAATCTTCCGGAAAAACTTTTTTTGAAAGAGAGATCTACACAGCAAAAGCACAACGAAAAAGCGAGCTGCTTTTGTTTTGATGCTGCCTTGCATTCAGTTGTGATTACTGTGGACAGAGAGGTCACGAGGGCACCTGTGCTTTTTCCTGGAGGCCTCTTCTTTCGAAAAAAACACTCTCTTCTATGTCCACACACGCCTTTTTCCAAAAAAGCTTTCTGTCGAAAGAATGTAATAACAGTGTGGACGTAAGTGTAGTTTTTCCAGGAAAACTCCCATTTTTCCAGGAAAACTCTGCAGTGTAGACATACCCAGAGTGATCTCTGTGATATGAACATAGCGGGAGAGTACTCAGCTTGTAAAAATGGTGAGTTAAAAGTGGATGAGACTAATAAATGTCTGTGTTGGGTGTAATGCCCAACAGGTGCTGTCATGGGAGGCACTTCTATCTGAGGCGCTGAATCATGCCTCGGTGCCAAAGGCAGTTGTGCCGCATCAGGCGCCTCTGTGGTGGTAGGTAAGGCATCTGTTAACGTGATTGGCACTGCGCTCTCATGCCGCATCAGTTGTATCATTGCCAGATGGTGCTGCACCTAATGAGGCAGGCAACTTAAAGCCTGTCACCTCGGAGTGTGAGTTAGTGCATGCCCATTGCTTTTCTGTACTGAGGGCTCCAGAGACACCAGTGGTGTCATTCGTGCTGAGGTATGGTGCCGCCACTGCTCTTGGCACCAACTGTGAGAGAGATGGCTGCTTCAATGCCGTAGCCCCTTGTGGTGCTGAGGAGGCTCTTGCATCCCTGCTGTTTGTTTCTCGGGTTGCTGGCCAGAGTCACAGGCTGGTCTAAGAAAGTTTTCCAATAAAAATAACTTGAGGCGGCGGTCTCTATCTTTCCACACCCACAGTTTTAGCTATGTCCAATGAGGGCATTTCTGAGAGATATGCTGCTCTCTGAGGCAGCGGATGCATTGTGAGTAACCATCTGATATCGGATAGGTTCTTTACATGAGGTGCAGAGCTTAAACCCTGGTGAGCCAGGCATGCCAGTGGAACCAGTCAGGGACTGCAAGAAGGGATTAACTGGGAGAAATAAAAACCCTTATACTAATCTAGATTTTTTTTAACTAATTAATTAATTAACTAACTATTTAAACTCATTAACTAACTACTATAATGAATTTAACTGGTTTTAGAGAAGTATGATCATGTAGAGGCGAAGAAGCGAGGGAGCACTGCTGAGTCTGTCTGTAGCTGGAGGCAGTAGAGAAGGAACTGAGGAGTGGGGGGGAGGGGGCTCGCGCAAGCACGATGCCTGTAGCCTAACAGCGCACGGCTGCTGGTGCGCGCATGCGCGGCCCCAGGGACACTGCTACAAAATCTCCACTCTGTAGCTTGTCGGCAGTGCACCGACCTAATGTGGATCACCCACGGGGACAACTCTCGAAGAAGAAATTAATTTTATGAGCTTTATTGAAACATACAAAAAGCAAGGTGGTTCAAATGATTAATGGTCCACCTTTTATTACTCTTCTTGACCTAGGTTATATGGGATTACAAATAATTCTAATACTTCACCTATGCATTGCAACACCTAGTATAGGCATCACACAGCCAAATATTTGATCAAACACCACTCTAGGCAAGTCTGAGTGTGGTGCTCTAAAAAAATAAGAAACTGAACTAATTCCAATGGTGTCCACTATTTTTCAATGCCTGGGAACAACCTGGTCATCAACCACTCATGATGACTTTATTGTAAGGTTATACAGTGTAAGGCTTGATTTCACCTCAAGTAGTCATTTTCTTTCCTTTGATACATTTAAGCCAGGATTTATTATAACATTACCACTAAGACTGTTTCTTATGATTCAATGCAGTACTAGTAAATCAGATTTTTTTTAAAAAATAAAACGACAGAGATCTGTACCTTCTCCAACTGCTGAAAAATGTAAGACAGAGTCCTGGGAATGATGCCTCGATCACTATAACGTTCTGCTCCCCCAGTGATGGTAAAAGTCTTGCCACTGCCCGTCTGTCCATATGCAAAGATAGTGCCATTATATCCTGCTAGAGCACTAAAAAAAGGAAGAAATAGATACACATGTGGCATACAGTACCTCTCCCATGGTTATCTCTTACAGCTTCATCCAAACCCTGATCCAATGCCAAATGTTTCAATTGTCTTTGGTGTGCATTTGGAGCAGGGTAAAACACATTTTAGATCAGATGGAGTTTCAAGATTTTCATTAACTTAAAAAGCAATGATGTTTTGACTCATTCTATAATTAAATTAGCATTACCATTAAATTCTAACAAAGTTTATTATTATATACAGACTTTTAGTGTTTACGTTAAAAAAGTAGAGGGCTATAGAGAACATTTAATCTCTAACCCAACCCTTCTTTAATCCAGTCAGTTGGTGATGACTAAATTAGACAGCATCTGATAGTTGTCCAATAACCTGTGTTAAATGAGTTTGATGGCCCCAGTCTATTTTCTAGTAGAAAAGTGTGTGATTTTTTGTGATTCACAACCATCCCTGTTAGTCTTGTTGACAGTCTCAACAGAGAAGCCAAAAAGCCAACTGTCCTCTTGTGGAGTAATGTTAGTTCGAACTAAGGGGTTTGATTCAAACTACCACGGCCCAGAGCACACTTCCTGGTTCGAATCAGCTGGCGATCGGAATAGTGCACAGGCGAGATTATGCTAATGAAGCACGGGATATTTAAATCCCCGCTTCATTAGCAATTTCGGTCGCCTGCATTTGCATCCCTAGTTCAAACTACAGTTCAAGTGTAGACGTACCCTTTGTGCTATCCTGAAAGGGCAGAAAGAGCATAATATAGTGTGGAGGAAATGAAGTATTCCATCCATCAAACCATCCATTCCATCTCCGTCTTTCAAAGGTAGCCTGAGATCCATGGATTTTACTCATACTCCTACAACATCCACATATTTGGAAGGCCAAACTTACTGTCCACCTTCTCCACAACTGAACAATGTATAGGAAATCCCATAAATTGAAATTCAGTGTCAAATCCATTAATATTTTTGATAATTCTCATAATTGTGGTATCTCCCATACAGAGCACTAAATGGTCCTTTGTTTCCAGTATGAACAATCTTTTAGGAAAAGTAAATATGTACAAAATTTTGTGGAAACAATAAAGCATTAGAAAACAGTTCATGGATTCTATTCTACTCTGGTTCTTATACTGTACCACTCACCAACCTATCCTAGTACCTTCCAGAAGTGCATTGTGACAGGACTAGCAGCAGTCATGTGTCAGTCTCTCTTTTTCTCTTCCTTTTTCTAGGAAGTCAACTGCGTGTGGATTTTAAAAAATCGCTTATGCTATTTATTTTTATGAGGAAAAGTAGGACAAGTTTGCAATTGGAATGAAAACTGATGGCCAGAGTATACAGCTGACTTGACAGCGGATAGCCTTGATGTACTCCCTTCCCAAAGCTGACCCGTGAAGTCAGGGTCCAGTTGAGCTTGACCAAACACTCTGTGGAAGCGTACAGCACGTGGAGAAACCTCACAAAGTCAGACCCGAAGCCAAAAGCCCCGCAGAGTGCCCAGGAGATACCAGTGATCCATCCGGTCGAACACCTCCTGATCCAAGGACAGGAGGGCAAATGACAGACCATCCCTATACCCCAGCTCTTGGAGATCCTGGACCAAATAAAGGTTGTCGAAGATGGTATGGCCCAGGATGGTGCCGCTCTACTCTGCACTAGTTAGGCCTCAGCTGGAGTACTGTGTCCAGTTCTGGGCACCACATTTCAAGAATGATGTGGAGAAATTGGAAGAGAAGCATTAAGGGGGGACATGATAGTGGTTTTCAAATATCTAAAAGGGTGTCACAAGGAGGAAGGCGAAAATTTGTTCCTCTTGGTTTCTGAGGACAGGACAAGGAGTAATGGGCTTAAAGTGCAGCAGGGGAGGTTTAGATTGGACATTAGGAAAAAATTCCTAACTGTCAGGGTGGTCAAATATTGCAATAAATTGCCAAGGGAGGTGGTGGAATCTCCCTCTCTGGAGATATTTAAGAACATGTTAGATAGACATCTGTCAGGGGTGGTGTAGACAGAGCTTGGTCCTGCCTTGAGGGTGGGGGGCTGGACTCGATGACCTCTCGAGGTCCCTTCCAGTCCTATGATTCTATGATTCTATGATAGGTCTGGTCTGGATGGACCATGTCTGCCAGCACGGACTTGAATCTCTGTGAGATGGCTTTGGCAATGATTTTATAGTCTATGCCATCCCTTCCAGTCCTATGATTCTATGATTCTATGATAGGTCTGGTCTGGATGGACCATGTCTGCCAGCACGGACTTGAATCTCTGTGAGATGGCTTTGGCAATGATTTTATAGTCTATGCCAAGGAGTGAGATGGGACGCCAATTCCTCAGACCGTGGAGGTTCCCCTTCTTGGGCAGCAAGATGAGCACGGCTTGCCTACACGATACAGGGAGGACCCTGCTCTCCAAGGACTCAGCCCAGATGCTGGGCCCGGCCATGCCCAGGGACTTGTTGAGATGGAGGGCTTCTGAGAACTCAGCCAGAGAGAGGAGCAACTCTAGCTGGTCCTGGTGGCCCATGCTGACAGTCAGGAGTTCATTCCAGAGAACTCTGCAGGTGTCGGTGTCAGTTGGATCTGGGGAGAAAAGGGAGGCATAGAAGGCACAAGCCCTCTCACGCATCTCCAACAGATCCATGAGGGGGGTGCCATCCTCTACCAGAAGGCAGATTATTTTTGCCCCCCCCCTTTTTCTTCAGGGTGTAGAAGAAGCAGGAGTTGCAATCCATCTCCTGGAGGAGGTGGATGCGAGAACGAACAAAGGTACCCCAGGCCTAAAGGTCATCGAGGGCCTGGAGTTCCTCCTGCTTCTCCTAGCACGATCTGCAGAGGGATGGGTCTCTGGGGCCGGTGTCAAGCCACATCTCTAGCTCTAAAACCTCCCGCTCCAACTGCTCTATCTTCTGCTGGCTGGCTCCCTGGGTGTAGTCGCAACAGAAGAGCTACATGCACACTTTCCCCACATCCCACCACTGCCGTGCCGAAGAAAAGGCACACTGCTGCCAATGCCAGGCCAGCAAGAACTCCCAGAAGGACGCTAAAAAGCCCACATCCTCCAGCAAGCTGTTGTTGAAATGCCAGTAAACCAGCCCCAGCCTCTCCGAGGAAAGAGAGGCCATCACGGCCACCAAATGCTGAATGCTGGAAGAGTGGGCCTGAAATAGATGATGACGAAAGCAATAAATGTGGTCCAACCGGGAGTGAAACAACTGTTGACCCTCTACCTGGAAAAGGTAAATGCTGCATCCTCATCCGGGTGGAGGTCACGCCAAATGTTCACCAGGGAGTGTTGGTCTATCATCTCCCTGAGGGTTCCCGTGTGGTCCCGTTCCTCGAGGGAGCAATTGAAATCCCCACCCAGGACCAGGCACTCGTGAGGATCCAGAGAGCTGAGTAAGGCAGACGCCTGCTGGTAGAAGTGGAGCCTTTCCAGGCCAGATGTCGGGGCGTAGATGTTAATGAGATTTAATGTCAGCCCCTCCACCCGGACCCGGAGGTGCAGCAGGGAGCCCTGCACAACCTTGGCAGTCCTGCACAACCTCGGTAGTCACCAGCACCTCGGACTGCAGGTTCAGGGAGAACAGGGTCACCAACCCGAATTAACAGGCTGACAGGTGGCTGAAGTAGACCCTGTCCCCCCACTTCAGACACCAGAGCTGGAGCAGTGAGGGTCTCCTGTAGGAAGATGACAGAGTACCCCCTTCCCGAAGGAAGGAGAATACCTGACACTTGTGGAGACCCAGCCTGCAGCTCTGGGTGTTCAGAATGGCAAGGACGAATGAGGGCATTGAGAGGGCTGGGGAAGATCCTCACTGGCAGGAGTGCTGGCAGCACCCATTGGGCCCCGCAGCAAACCGTGACCATATCCAAACATGAGCAGGGTGTCACGGAAGGCTGGTAGGCTTCAGCCTCCCACTGCCCAGTCCCTTTACCCTCCCCCAAAATGGCTCTTACGGTCTGGAGGACGAGATGGAAATCTTCCCAGCGCTGAAGGATGAGAGCCACTATGTTCTTGGAGCCACAGATGTCTTCCAAGAAGTTTTGCATCTCGCCCTTCACTGCATCAGGCGTCAGGACCTCAGACCCAGACCAACAGCCCACTACACTCAGGTGGAGGCAGAGCTATAGGGCTCCAGAGAAGTGGCCCTCTCTCTCCACCTAAAGATCATGTCAGGGGAGGTTAAAGGGCTAGACAGAAGGAGAGAAGGATACTTCAGAGCAGTCAGGAGCAGCTAGCCTGAGAATATTAAGGGCAGAATGGAAGCAGCTGGGCAGGGCTGTGACAAAACAATTAAGGGCCAGGTAATTTGGCTCCAGGCAGCTAAAGGGGACTTTTAAAAAGCCAAGGAGGGGGGGGGGGGGGGAGGGGGGAAGGAAAAAAGCCATAACTGATAAGAGAAGAATCAGAAAAGCTGAAAGAGAGAACAGCAACGTTGCCAGAGATAACAGTGTAAGTGAGGGGGACCTACCAGGAGGGTTTGGACTTCTTTACCCAAGCAGCCTGAGAGCCCAGCCTGTAGCTGGGAAGGACTGGTTACCCAGCCCAGGCTGAACAGGGGCACCAGACTCAATGCCCTTTTAACCGAAGGACAGAAGCCCAAATGCCAACAAGGAGAAGCAGGACCCACACTGCTGTACTTAAGTCTGAGTTAGTGGACTGAACAGGGTTATGGGGCCCAGAAGTGGGACCTACCCTCCACACTGCATAAACAAAAATTAGCTTTATGACAGATACTTTTATTGTGCCATAAGAGTAGAGTTACTGATGACTGAGGGACCTCGGAACCCGCCGCAACCTGGTTCGCCTGACGGGAGATGTGCAAGACCTGTTGTGCCACCTGCTCGGCACAGCTGGGAGGAGACGGGATTGAACGAGGGCACAGCGGCCCGCCCGGTGTAGAAGGAGGGGCTGCCCTCGCCGACAGCACCCCGCACTACACAAAGAGCAGGGATGGCGGAAGGATGAAAAGTATACCGGAACTCCAGAG